CTTTATTAATCTGGAATATTTCTGCTTTTAGTCTGTGGTTGGATTCCATCATTCTTGTTCCTATCTTCTAAGTAAACATCAAATAATGGTGCCTTTATTTTATTTAACAAAAGTCTAATTTGTGCTGGCTTTTTGGGAATTCTACGCATCACTCCACATAATTATCTCTTTCGTCTGGAGTACTGCAGGGGACAAAGTCCAAAACAAACTTATAGCAGACCCTTCTGGGCTTGCAACACCAATCAAGCCTTCCTGAATGCAAATCGACTACCGGCTTTAACAGGGAAGGGGATCCAAAATCAATTGGCCCAATCCTATGACTCAGTCCATATACAATTGGTTGGATGGGCACAATCCTCCGAATTGAATCAATTTTTGTGTGAAAACCACAACTACAATCATACCGAACCAAACCAATTCATATATGTAAGAATTGGCCAATAGGGTATAGCTAAGTTGGTTGAGCTCTTCCACCTCGATTAAGGCCAGGTCTTGAGTCGGAGCAGGAGGTGCTTTATTAATGTGATCAGAGTTTTGTAAGGGGTTATTTAATGTTTTTTTTTGGTCGAAGGGGTTATTTAATGTAAGCGCGGCAAATTGTAGCCTAAGTTCCCTTGAGCAGCATTGGCGGGTGCTGTTTTTAATCCACATCAAGCCTATGTTCGAATCTTAGCATTATGCTATATATACAAATGGTCTATTTTCAATGTCGCCCTAGGCTTAAGAAATCTCCGGGTTGGCCCTGCCTTCACTTATGTGGGCAAAGGTTTAAAATTTAGAACTAATGAATATTTTTGTAAAACCCCCTCTCCCAATCGCTTGTACTAAAAAAATTGTAAGAATTGTTAAATAATAGTCTATTTGTCTTGGTTCAATTTTGAACGAATTTTCTGATTTTATGTATGAATATGAAACCAAGCTGTTTGGATTAGATTGGATTGATTTGAGCTGTTTAGTTAGTAAAATGCCAACTCCTCCTGTCCATGCCCTCATATCTTGGAACTGTGATTTTGTGTTTTCAACAAAGTTTAAAGCACTTAGAATATCTTGAGTTTTTGTCTGAAATACTTGACAAAGAAAATTGGTCAATCCCATAATTTTATCCATGAAAAGCAATGAAAACACAAACTCAAAAGACATCATAGCAATATAGTTACTCTTTGCATCGCCATAATCACTGATTTCCTGGAGAAGTATTTTAGTGTCTTCAAATAAATTCATCAAACTTGTAATAGAGGCAAAGTGAGATCCCCAACGAGTGGCTCCAGCTCGTTTCAAACTACGACCTTGATTAAGTCCTCTACTTGTCTCAAGTTCCCCAAAATCCAACAACTCTTTGGGTTCAGCTTTTTGAATTAAATTTAACTCATTACGGTGTTTAGCAGAAACACTAACAAAATTCACAATATTAGTCAACGTTGAAAAAAATCTCTATACAACTTTCACATCTTTCACATGCTTATATTGCTTTTTATTGTTTTTGTTAAGAGAATGTTTGAGTGGGTTAGGCTATTGTTTTTGTTAAAGTGAAAATTTTGAGTGCGTTGAATTTGAGTAGGCAGAAGAAATTTGATTGTATTGGTTATTGGGTAATTTTTGGTTTGGCAAAAAATAGAGTAGGTGGCTGCCTACCCTACTCTTAGGGTAGGACTGCCCTTGATGGATTGGGTTTGAGTAGGCAAAATTTTTTTAATTGTATTGAGTATTGGGTAATGTTTGGTTTGGCAAGAAATGGAGTAGGCGGCTGCCTACCCTGCCCTTAGGGTAGGACTGCCCTTGGAGACCACACAATGGATACGTCTTCTATGCTCTTCTGAGACCTAGAGAACTATTTGAGCATGGTCGTATTTCCTGACCGGATCAGAGTGAAAATGTCAAAGGCCAGAATAATTAAACTATTGCATGCGTTGTTCCCAGACAGCATTGCTTGAAGATGCCATAACTTCAAGGTGTGACCACTTCATCAAAATGAGATACTGATAAGTATTTTTTTTGAACTTCATTAAATGATAGATACTAAAAGGGTAAATGATAAAGGGAATAGAAAAAAAATTAATTACTCTGCAGTCTTGGAAACACAAGTATAATATTCTATCACACTGCTTTTATGAAAAAGTTACACCAGAATTCCCAAACATCATCACCAGTACCCTGTGAAAATTTAAATCCCACAGGCCTGCGTCCACCACCCACAAATTGCAACTGGCATAAGGGAGAGGGTTGGTTTCAGAGATTTAAATCTTTTACTACCCAACCAATACAAGACTACAAATTGCAACGGGCAAGGAAGGAGCCGTGCCCATATTCTAATGTATTTGTCCGCGTATTATCCCAAAACGACACAATAAATTCCATAATTCCCAACTGTTTCTTCTTCTTATGTCAGTCGGTATAAACAAACAACTGTTCAAATCTCTGAAGAGCTAGCTGTATGCCAATCACCTTTCACATTACTTTATATACCTCTCCATCCTCTTCACCACGGTCTTCATTCACTGAGTTTGCAAAAACAAAAGCAAACCCAACTCTGCAAAACCAAACATGAAATCCATTTCAAATTTCAAATTCCTCCAAGCCTTTTTTGGAACACTTTTACTAACCCTAACCCTCCTATTCGTTGAAAGAACGTCTAGTCCATTTCCATCAAGTCTAATCCGGAACGGAGTCCTAATTGAGTCCTTAATTAATCCCCTCCTTCGCATCATCTACACTCACCCCACCTTTCTCTTGTCTTGCATTTGTTGCCTTTTCCTTTCCATCCTTTACTACTACATCTCTAGTCAAAACCCAGTTTTCCTCCTGGACTTCTCATGCTTCAAACCAAACCCTAACCAAAAATGCAGCTACAAAGCCTCTGAGCTCTTTGTACTCGGGACGAATCGCTTCAGCGAGGAGAGCCTAGAATTCATGAGTAAAATCTACCTCAAATCAGGCCTAGGGGACGAAACATATGCACCAAAATTCGTCTTCCAATCCAACCCGAAAGCCGACCTCGAATCAGCCTTTGATGAAGCTCAAGAAGGCATGTTCTCGTCGATCAACTCAGTCCTCTCAAAAACCAACATCGACCCAAGTCGCATCGATTGCCTAATTGTAACATGTGGCAGCTTCTCTCCCATGCCCTCCCTCACATCCCTCATTGTCAACCATTTCAAGCTCAAATCCGACGTGAAAACCTACAATTTAAGTGGCATGGGGTGTAGTTCTGGAGTAATATCAATCGATTTAGCTGCCAACGTACTAAAGAAAAGTAAAAAAATTGGTTATGCTCTTGTGGTCATAATCGAGACTATTAACTTGAATTGGTACTATGGTGATAACCGTCCCATGCTTGTAACAAATTGTATTTTTCGCGTCGGGTGTGTGGCCGCAATGATCACAAACGATCCGAGTTGTCGCCGAATTGCCAAGATGGAACTCGTTCACTCGCTTCGAACTCACCACGGAGCGAATGACCGAGCTTATAAAGCTGCATTTCAAGAGGAGGATGACAAGGGATGTACTGGGTTTTCCCTAACTAAAGATTTGATTCCAGTCGCAGGCATGTTTTTACGTGAACACATCAAGATTCTGGGTCCCCGAGTTCTACCACTGAGTCAACTCGGTCTGTATGTCTACTCGATAATTCGTTCTACAATGACGAGCGGTGCGTCGAAACCAATCGTCCCAGATTTCACCAAGGCTTTTGATCATTTTTGTATTCACACGGGCGGGAAAGCGGTGATCGAGCAAGTTGGTCGGGTTTTGAGATTGGGGGAAGAGTTGACTGAGCCGGCTCGGATGAGTTTGCACCGATTCGGGAACACTTCGAGTAGTCTTGTCTTTTATGAGTTGGCGTATCTTGAAGCTAAAGGGAGAGTTAAGAAAGGAGATAGGGTGTGGATGTTAGGTTTTGGGACTGGGTTTAAAGTTGGTAGCCTTGTTTGGAAGGCGCTTTTAGATTTCGGAAATGAGAGGGATAATCCATGGAGTGATTGCATCGACAGGTACCCATTGAAGTCATGGTAAATCTGATAAGGCTATAGTCATACAAATTAGTCAGAAAATTGAGGTGGCTTTTTGGTATGCAATTCAATTAGGGAATTCAAAAACATTATTAATTTTTCTTAAAAATAAGGAGTTGTAAATAAACAGTTTTTTCTTTCTAGTATATTTGAGTGTTTTTTAGTTTAGGTTTTCAAAAATGGGTCTATACCAAATAATTTTTTTGAGTTTTGGACTCAAATTTTGGTTTTAAATTTTAAAGTTGAATTCAAATAGAATACCAAACACCTATGATTATTTGTACTTATGAAACTCACATTTTTTGATCAGTGAATTAAAGAGTATAAATTTATCTGCTACTGAAATTCTCCCTGAACCAATTGCTACATGGATCCAAATCCTCTGCTTCCTGGATTTTATACTGATCTAACGGGTAATAAGAAACACATAATTTCTTAGTCCTGTTTTTCTATATATGAAATTAAAAAAGGGAAACAATAATTGTATGTTTGACTTCTCTTATGCAAAAATGTCACCTCATTTAATTTCATTTAAGAGTTTGAAAATTACACATCATGACAAACAAAACCCTTTCGTCACTTTCCATCTCAATTCTCAAAAACAAAACAAAATTCAGTGTACTAGCAGAATCCCATCAAGTCGCAAAACCCACCCTATTGCCAGACCAGCATAAGAGTTATATTGGTCAACATACACTTATTGCACCGTATTTGTCCCCCTTAGGCCCAGTTTGGGATTGCTGTCACTTTTAAAACAAGTTGCTTCTGCTGTGCTTTGAAAATAATTAGCTGTAAAGTAAAGCAGCTCCGTGTTTGGTAAACAATATTTTTAAAGTGCTGTTAGTACAAAAAGCAGTGTCAAAACCGTTTGGTAAGTTTTAATATAAAATTGTTGTAACTGTGAATAATGACTAAAATAGACATGATGTTAAAAGTGTTATGTACTAATCATGTGGTAGTAGTGGTAGTGATGGAGTGGAGGTGGTGGTGGTAGGGATGGCGTTTGTGGAGGTGGTGGTAGTGACAGCATGGTGGTGGAGGTGGCAGCATGGTGATGGTGGTGGTGTTGGTTGTGGAGGTGGTGGTGGATGTGGATGTTTTGAAGGAGGTGGTGGTTGTTGTGGTGGTGGTGGTGGTGGTGGTGGTGGTGGTGGAGGTGGAGGTGAAGGTGGTGGTGGTGGTGGTGGTGGTGATGGTGGTGGTGGTGGTGGTGATGGTGGTGGTGGTGGTAGTAGTGACAGCATGGTGGTGGAGGTGGCAGCATGGTGATGGTGGTGGTGTTGGTTGTGGAGGTGGTGGTGGAGGTGGCAGCATGGTGATGGTGGTGGTGTTGGTTGTGGAGGTGGTGGTGGATGCGGATGTTTTGAAGGAGGTGGTGGTTGTTGTGGTGGTGGTGGAGGTGAAGGTGGAGTTGGTGGTGGTGGTGGTGGGAGGTGGCAGCATGGTGATGGTGGTGGTGTTGGTGATGGATGTGGATGTTTTGAAGGAGGTGGTGGTGGTGGTGGTGGTGGTGGTGGTGGTGTTGGTTGTGGAGGTGGTGGTGGATGTGGATGTTTTGAAAGAGGTGGTGGTTGTTGTGGTGGTGGTGGTGGTGGTGGCAGCATGGTGATGGTGGTGGTGTTGGTTGTGGAGGTGGTGGTGGATGTGGATGTTTTGAAGGAGGTGGTGGTTGTTGTGGTGGTGGTGGTGGTGGTGGTGGTGGAGGTGAAGGTGGAGTTGGTGATGGTGGTGGTGGTGGTGGTGGTGGGGGTGGTTGTGGAGGTAGTGAATGTGGTGGTGTAAGTGGTAGAGTTGGATGTGGAAGTGGAGGTGGTGTTATTTTTTAAAATGAATGATGGTATTTTGGGAATTAAAAAAATTCATTAAAGGTTCATCTCTGCTTTTTTTGAAAGCAGCTTTGAAAAGCAACCCATAGCCTGCTTTTAAAAGCTGCTGTCAAAAGGTCACTGCTTTTAAAATAATCGAGATATTTTATTTTTACCAAACACCTAAAACTGCTTAACTTTAAAGTGAAGCAGGCTTTTGGCGAAAAAAGGCAATCCCAAACGGGGCCTTACTCTCGATGGCGATCCATCAATTAGTGAAAGAAGTGCACGAAAATGAGAGAGAGATAATTTTGTTTATTCTAAAGCAATTTGGTTTTATCAATAGGGTGTTAGTTGGATTGACCAGTAATTTGGTGTGCTCTTAAGTGGTGCTGGATTCTTGTCCTATTGTACCTGTGTATGTGAGAATCTCCCCTCTCATTTCATAATTTTTGAGGGAAAAAAGAAAGCAATTTGATTTTCTTTTCAAATTGAGTGCTAGACATGTTGACAGAAGGTTGACTTCACCTACCTTTTTAAAGGAAATCTCATCAATCAATAAGGAATAACCCATGCTTGTCATACCTCACCTACATCCCACCAATAAGGAGTATGAAGCTATATCTCTCCCATGCCTTCTTCATGCCCAAAACCCCTAGTCAAGGAGAACCATGCAAAATCCCCAACAATCAAGCAACCTTGTCTACCAATACTTGGACTACAAAAGAGAGGTGATCACCTCCAAGGGAAAGGACCACTCTCGCACACTCTCTTTTCACATTTACAAAGGCTCTCAAGCCTCTTTCTTTTACAAAGGGCTCTCAGGCCTCTCACAATATGTAAAACTCCATAGAGAAATACAAATACAAAAGCTCCAAACTGGATGTAGCCTAATTATAGGTGAACCAGTCAAAATCATGTGTTATGTGTGTGATTATGTCTTAATCCGTTGGTCTACTCCAACAAGACAATTATTATTTATTTTTAGGCTTATTTACTGTTTCACCCATGGAACTTGAGCTCGCTCTCACTTAACGACCTGGAACTCAAATTTTCTCACTTTACCCCTTGAATCTCTAAAAGTTGTTGAAATTTTCTCACTTTACCACTTTTGTCCATTTCCGTCCACAAAACCGTTAAGTGTGTTCAGGTGACATGGATATTCTAGTAATTTTAGTCCCTCTATCTTCTCTCTTCTCTCTGCCTCTCTCTTGCTCCCTCGCTCTCTCTCTCTCTCTCTCTCTCTCTCTCTCTTTCTGCTTCTCTTTTCTCTCCCATCCCATCCTCAAACTTTACCCCTAGGGATCCTCCATTGCACCCTACCCCTCCTCTCCCTCTACCTCTCTCTTCTCTCTCTCCCTCTTCTTTCCCCTCCCAAACCCACATCGCATCTCCATTGCAACCCACCCCTTCCCATCTTCTTTCTTCTCTGTGCCTCTTTCTCTCACTCTCACTCACACTCACTACCGATAGTGAAGATGGGGAGTGGCTGTCAAGGATAATTACTTTTTAGAATTTTGAGGGTGGTGGTTTGGGTGTGTTGAGTAATTCTATGGAGGGTTGGGTCTGGGGTGGGGGTTGGGCATGGGGAGGGGAGAGGAGAGAAGAGAGAGGCATAGAGAGTGAGAGTGAGAGAGATAGAGATAGAGGCAAAGTGAGGGAAGGGGTGGGGTGCGATGGAGGTGTGCTGGGGGTTGGGTCAAGGGAAGGGATGAGAGAGGAGAGGGAGAGGGTGGGTGCGATGAGGGTTTGGTTGGGTAAGAGAGAGAGAGAGAGAGAGGCATAGGGAGAGATAGAAAAGTCATTTAACGGGAAAATGAGACAGCATTAAGAGGATGGGGTAACATTTGGGACAAAGTGGGAGAATGGAGGGTAAAGTGAGGAAATTTGAGTTCCGAGTGGTTAAGTGAGAGCGAGCTCGAGTTCCAGGGGGTGAAACAGTAAATAAGCTTTATATTTATTCTAAAGGGTGATGTGACAATTTTCTAGCTCTTTCATAAAATTTAAATGAGGTCCCATGTATAGAAAAAATTGTCAACTGCAAAGGACACTAATCTAGTGGTTTGGAGAAATTGCTCCCCCGAGAAAAGGTCTTTGGTTTGAGGCCTAGCATCTATGTAGTGTGCGTAAGTTTAATATATTATCAATAGTAAAGGTCCTTAAAATTTTTTGTTTTTTTTGTTTTCAACAGTAATGGTTTAGGGTTTAGGGTTTGGGTCCCTGAACTAATAGCAGCAGTCATCTAGCAGGTCAAAAGAGCAACACTTTTTTTTAATTATTTATTTTTTCAATTGACCAATATCGAGAACAAAAGTAATATTGACAGTCATCTTATTTGGTTAAATTGGTATATTTATAGGTGTATTTTAGGAATAATTGTCATCGGGAGTGGATTGTGGAGTCAATGGCAATCAGCTGGCATCTGGTTGGGTTGTCAGTTTGGTTTACGGGAGGAGCTACTACAAAGGCTGTAACAACCCGATCCTTAATTAATTCTTAATTATTATTTTATTCAAGGAAAAGACTAGAATACCCCCCGGAATATTTTATTAGGTTTGAAGTTAACTTTTGATCAGGAAGGAATTTGGGATTTTCGATTGCACCATTGTGTAGAGCACGACGAAATGAGTCTGTAAACGTGTAGTGGGCTCGAATCGGAGTTGTAATGAAGAAAATACGATCAAACTACACTGAGGGGCAAAATGGTAATTTGCTAGATCAGATTTTAAAACCCCTCTCTCCTCCATGCGACACTCTCTCCTCTCTCTCTCTCTCTCTCTCTCTCTCTCTCTCTCTCTCTCTCTCTCCTCTCTCTCTCTCTCTCTCTCTCTCTCTCCGACGGCTCTCACTCTCTCTCTTCGAACCATGGCCGGAGCAGGCGCTAAAAGGACCGGCCCGATCCCGACGTCAAACCCCAGCCCTTCCCCAAAGCTGGCCGCTGCCTGTTTCGCCCTAAAAAGCCCGAGAACGATCGATTTTTCCCCGAGAGTTCGCCGGTCTCGATCTCTCTCCTTTGACCGCCATTTCCGATGATCAAGGTATGGAATCTCATTTACTCTTCGAGTTCTAGCTGCCTGTTGGGTAGGAATTGGTTGATTTTTGAGTGTAGGAGAATGATTTGGGAACCAGGTTTTGGTCGAAATTCGGGTTGAGATTCCGACCATTTCCGACCATTTTTTGGGGTAGGTCACAGAACAAATGTGGTTCCAAATAGGTGCTACACCTAGGGTAGAACTCTTGAGCCGGGATTTGGAGATTTGATCCTCTTAGGGTACGTAGGCAGCCTGATGTTACAAGGTGCAGACACGAGTTGGAGTCTTTGAGATTGTTATTGTATTGTTGATATTCTGAAAGCTGAGATGAATTTTATATCCACAAGGATTTATTTGATTTATTTAGGCCTGAGGCCAGAATTATATAATGCTTGATATTTGGTTATAATTCGATACATGCTGGCAGTTGGGTTATATATAAACTTATATGCTTGTTTTACAGGTGGGAACTTTTGGGAAATGTCCAATTTACAGGGGACACTCTGCCGAATTTTTGGCAGAAGTCGAACTTGAATTTCTTGGAATTTTGGTTAGAAGGGCATTTTGGTAAATTGCGTCCGACTTTTGCCAGGTGTCGAACACGTACAGGGTTTGACTCGGATTCCAAAGTGGAATTTGGGTTGGGTCCTTTCAATTGGTATAAGAGTATTAGGTTATATTCCTGTAGACTCAACACCACATGTGCATCCTTGCACTACTACAAAAAAGGAAAAACACGACGGGAATTCACCGTCGTGTATTCTGTTTTCAAATGGTCGTGGAATCCACCGATATCTTTTCCATAACCAAACCACGACGGTGAATAACCGTCGTTGTTAAAACAAAAAACGTCATCAAAAAATAAAAACCGACGTCTTTGTGCTGCAAAAAGACATAAAAAAACAGTCGAGGATGAGAATAGACGACTAACTCCAACAAAAAAAACGTCGTTAAAAAGGAAACAGATGACATATATTAACAGACCATGGCCGCAAGATAAACATACAACGACGAGAACTAAAACTTAACGCCGTTAAATAAATATTTAACGACAAATATAAATACGACGTCCTTACAATCATAATAGACGACGTTATTGACACCTACTACGTCACAACATTTCCCACAACCGTCGTAAAATAAATTTTCCACTTCGATTTTTCTATGAATTATGACGTGGAAATAGATGTCAGGGTCATTACTTACGACGCATGTATTTACAGAGACGACGTTGAATTGGATAAATAACGTCGGTTTCAAATAAATGAGAGCCGTATTACAGAATTTATACGTCATATTTTGAAAATAAACGACGTGGAAAAAATGATGGGGTCATTAATTACGACACAGTAATTTATAAGGACGACGTTGTCGTCTATATACAACGTCGGTACCATGAAAAAGACCGTCGTGTTTAATAATTTATACGTCTTCATTTAAAAAATTGACGTCGTCTAATGCATATATCTTAACGTCGACAAGTTTAATGGACTTCAAATACCGTCGTAAAATAAATTTTCCACTTCGATTTTTCTACGAATTATGACGTGGAAATAGATGTCAGGTTCATTAATTACGACGTATGTATTTACTGAGACGACGTTGAAATGAATAAACAACGTCGGTTCCAAATAAATGAGAGCCGTATTACAGAATTTATACGTCATATTTTGAAAACAAACGACGTGGAAAAAATGATGGGGTCATTAATTACGACACCGTAATTTATGAGGACGACGTTGTCGTCTATATACAACGTCGGTACCATGAAAAAGACCGTCGTGTTTAATAATTTATACGTCTTCATTAAAAAATTAACGTCGTCTAATTCATAAATCTTAACGTCGACAAATTTAATGGATTTCAAATACCGTCGTGAATTCATCCTTTTCCACTTCGTTTATGAAAGAACATGCGACGTGGTAAATTCATGACGACGTCGTCTTTTGTAACGTTCAGGTTAAAGTTCTCGTCTTTTAGACGTCGGTGTTATGGGATTGGAGACGTGTTATGTTGAATTACATGGCGGTTCTTTATCAAAACCGTCGTGTTTGTAATCTGGAACCAGTAATTTTTGTACTGATTGTTTTGTGGCCAAAACCTGTATAATGAAAGTGAAGAAATCACATTACAATATATTACAAAATTAATGTCATACACTGCCAATTACATAAAGCATCATTCAACCCATATATCTTCACACCCATCTCGAATATTTTGACTCCCTAACTCAACCACCACTTCATCAAATGTGTCAACATTTGGCATCCCCCTAGTAAATGGCTCACACTCAATTCTCACATCACCTAAGACATCATCACCAATAACATCATTATATTCTCTATTAGGCATTGATAACACTACCGACCAACCACGATGCATCGGGTCGTCAACAAAAAATACTTGTTTGACTTGAGAAGCCAAAACAAATTGGTCATTCCTATGTCCAATTTTACTCAAATCTACAAGGGTAAATCCAAGTTCGTCCACTACAAGACCAGAAGTATTATCAATCCAATCACACCTAAAGACTGGGATTGTAAACTTTTGGTAGTCAAGGTCCCAAATTTCTTGAATGACACCATAGAAACCCATATTTGAGAGAATTGGGTTTTTATCCTTGGCACTAGCAACTTGCATAGTATGTGCAAGTAAATAAACTCCACTATTTTGAGTTGTCCGCACATCATCTTGTGCCTTGATGTTGAATTTAATACCTTTAATGAGATAGCTCCTATATAATGGCACTGCCATGTTTGGACCAGCTGCTAGCCACCTTAAATTTTCTGATACGCCATGATTGTCCTCATTAAGTTCACTTTGAACCTGCAAATTAATCATAACTTAATTCAATCTAACATAGAAAGAAGAAAATTAAAAGTCCAATATGTTATTCAATAACATATACCTTGAAGCGTAGCCATTGAATGAAAGTGCTATTGTGCTTATCCTGCAGCCACTTTGTTCTCTTTCTAAATTTTGGATAAGCGGTTTGGATGTGGATCATATGTTGCCTACATGACACACAAAATTCAAGTATTACGGTCCCAAACATATAAGATAAACATAAGAAATAATTTAAAATGGAAACTTAAAGAATAAAACTCATACGTACTCGATATAAGGTAGGACTTCCTCCGTATTCTCCAAGACATATAGATGTGCTTGGTTCAACAGGTCCCGATCAACTACGCTCACTGTGCAACCTGATAATGGCTTTGAAACTCCCATCTTTTGGCTTGAAGGCACTCCAACTGTACTAACATCAGATAAATGCTCGGTACAAAACTCTACAGCTTCTTCAGCTATATACCGCTCAGCAATGCAACCTTCGGGACGAGTACGATTCTGAACATACCCCTTTAGCACTTTCATATATCTTTCAAACGGATACATCCATCTAAAATATACTGGCCCACACAGACGAACTTCTCTGACAAGATGTACTACTAGATGAACCATGATATCAAAGAAAAGTACTTCTCAAGCAAACACAAAGTAACTACTACATCTTCTTCCAACTTATCTAGCTTGGAAACATCAACAGTCTTTGCACATATAGCATTGAAGAAGAAGCACAAACGAGTTATTGCATACCTTGCAGGCTTCTCCAAAACAGAACGAATTGCCACAGGGAGCAATTGTTGCATTAAGGTATGACAATCATGTGATTTAAGGCCAAGAAGTCTTGAATCTTGTAAAGATACAAGATTTTTTATATTTGAAGAATAACCTTCAGGGACCTTCATACCATAGAAAGAATTGCAAACCTCTCTCTTCTCTGCTCTTGACAAATTCCAAGGCCCGGGAGGCAAACGAGTACGTCTTTCTCCATACTCGGGTTGCAAATCAGTTTTGACCCCCATGTTCAATAAATCTAATCGAGCAGCAATCCCATCTTTATTTTTTCCAGGGATCTCCAGCAATGTACCAATGATACTATCGCAAACGTTCTTCTCAATGTGCATAACATCTAGGACATGCCTCACAGGAAGGTATTTCCAATACTCGAGATCAAAGAATATTGATTTCTTCTTCCAACAAACTCTGTCACCATCTTCAACCATATGCAGCACTTCTTCTCCGGTTAATGGCTCAGGAGGCGTGCCATATTCAGGTTTCCCATTAAAAGCTGCACGTTGCCTCCTATATGGATGATTGATCGGTAACCATTTTCTATGCCCAATGTAACAAATTTTGTGGCCATTTTTCAACCTGTGACTAGGTGTATCATCGCCGCATATTGGACAAGCTTTATATCCTTTAACAACACAACCAGATAAGTTTCCATAGGCGGGGAAATCATTAATTGTCCACATTAATGCAGCTCTGAGTGTAAAGTATTCTCCATTATGTGCATCATACACTCCTCCAATCCCATCCCACAAAGATTTTAAATCATCAATCAAAGGCTCCAAGTAGACGTCTATATCATTTCCAGGCTGTTTAGGACCGGAAATCAATAAGGTCAACATCATGAACTTTCGTTTCATGCACAGCCATGGAGGGAGATTATATGTAACTAAGATAACTGGCCAGCAACTATATCTGCTACTTAGAGAACTGTGGGGATTGAATCCATCAGATGAAAGAGCCAATCTCAAGTTTCTCGGCTCATTACCAAACTCGGGCCATTTATCATCAAGAAGTTTCCAAGACGGGGAATCCGCTGGATGAGACATATAACCGTCAATTGATTTTCTAGCAGCATGCCAAGTCAAACTCTTAGCGGTCTCATGTGATCGAAACATCCTTTTAAACCTTGGAATTGGAGGAAAATACCACACCACCTTCGCTGGCACACCCTCTTTCAAGATTGAATCTTTGCCTTCCTTCCACCTTGAGATACCACAATTAGGACAATGAGTTAAATCCTCATACTCCTTCCTATACAAGATGCAATCATTGGGGCATGCGTGCATTTTCTCATAACTCAGCCCCAATGCACACAAAGTCTTTTTTGCCTCATACATAGAGGCCGGTATTGTATTTCCGTCTGGAAGCAAATCGCCTTGAAGTATCAATAATTCTGTAAAACAGACATCACTCATCCCATATTTTGCCTTCAAATTATACAACTTCACTAATGCCGATAACTTCGTGTACTTTCTACAACCAGGGTACAATGGTTGATCTCCATCCCCAATCACATTGGCAAACTCATAAGGATCAGATCCAAAATCACCAAAATCATTATCATCCATCTCTATTTCTTCAGACACAAAACTGTACCTACTATGGTCATCATCTTCTTCAACATTTCTACTAGCATTAGTAGCTGCTTCCCAAGGTTCCCCGTGAAATGTCCAATTCTTATAGCTTTGGTCAACTCCATTAAAGTATAAGTGATCCCTTATAATTCCAACCCCAAACAATTTCAAATTAACACATTTAACACATGGACAACGGATATGTGTGGTAGTTAGAAGATTTTCTACAGAAAAGTTCAAAAATGCTTCCACCCCTAACTCATATGCCTTCGATCTTCTATCCGAGTGCATCCATCCATCTCCGACACTATACCCTATTATATATAATAAAGTGAAAAGACAAGCAATGACCATCACTATAGCAGATTATATAAAGTCTAATAGCAAGTAATATACAACAGAGACGACGGTTTTTAAACAAAAACAGACGTATTTGACATATATAGACGACGGATTTTACGTCGTCTAATTATAACCACGACGGTAGTTAAATAACACCGTCGTGTATAAGTAATAAAAACGACGGTTTAAAGTAAAAACCGTCGTCGTATGCCTGAAAACGCGTCGATATCCAGTTTATTTTCAAGATCCCAAAACCCTATTAAGAACACAACATAGACATGAAACCAAGCAAGAAACCAACATATACATGAAACCAACATATACTAAGCATGAAAACAATAAATCCATTCCCAATTCAACATAACAGAGAGTGATTAAAAGATCCGACAAAATGAAATCCATTCCATATTCAACATAACAGAGAGTGATCAAGAAAACATTAAACAGAAAATCCATGAACCCATACCTCCAACAACATTATTAACAGATCGCAAAACATATACCTAAAACCCTTTAACAAAACAACGTAATATATCATTCAATGAATTTACAAGGGGAAGAGAGGGTTTGTACTTACAGGTTGGCAGAGCTCACAGATTATGACCAAAGTGGATTTGACACAGCCTGGCCCAACTTTGAATTAGAGATGAAGTGAGAGAGCGAAATGTTATGTTGCGCGAAATCAGAAAATTTTAGGGTTCAGGGTTAGAAGTATAAAAATAAGAGCCAAATCTGAAAATTTTAGGTCCCGCGAATATTTTAAGAAAGCGCGCTTTTTAAAACATCGACCGAAAATACAAGCGTTGTTAAAATTTAACATTAAACATGACGCTTATTACATTAAGGACGTCGTGGTAAAACTATGTACCACGCAAAATCAAAAAGGCGTTAAAACTATGAAAAACCACGGCGGGGTTAAGTAACTAACGACGTTGTAAATAATAATAAACGACTAACAGGTAAACAAAACGTCGTTTAAAAAAGAAACCACGTCGGATTTTTCACCATACGACGTAAACTCAATATTCCACGACTCAATCACCGTCGTTAAAAGTAATACCCTAAACTTTAAAACCATAAATTATATATTTGTAAAATTTAATTTTATAAAATTGTTTATGGTTTTACATCCTAATAAATAACAAGCATAAACCCTAAACCCCAAAAATTATACTTTAACCATAAACCCTAATAAATAACAACCCTAAACCCCAAACCCTAAACCCTAAACCATCAAACTATATAAGTGATGCTATGACTCATAAAACAATTTTATTTTGGTTGGTCATTTTAAACTTTTATTACACAAACTGCATTTTTTTGGGGTTTAGGGGGAAGAAAATATATCAATGACTTCATAGGAGTTGAAGTTGAATTTTTTGAATTTATTTTAAATTTATTTTTAAAATTTTGAATTAAAAATAATAAAATATTCTTATATCAACAACAAACCACGGCGGGGTTAAGTAACTAACGACGTTGTAAATAATAATAAACGACTAACAGGTAAACAAAACGTCGTTTAAAAAAGAAACCACGTCGGATTTTTCACCATACGACGTAAACTCAATATTCCACGACTCAATCACCGTCGTTAAAAGTAATACCCTAAACTTTAAAACCATAAATTATATATTTGTAAAATTTAATTTTATAAAATTGTTTATGGTTTTACATCCTAATAAATAACAACATAAACCCTAAACCCCAAAAATTATACTTTAACCATAAACCCTAATAAATAACAACCCTAAACCCCAAACCCTAAACCCTAAACCATCAAACTATATAAGTGATGCTATGACTCATAAAAACAATTTTATTTTGGTTGGTCATTTTAAACTTTTATTACACAAACTGCATTTTTTTGGGGTTTAGGGGGAAGAAAATATATCAATGACTTCATAGGAGTTGAAGTTGAATTTTTTGAATTTATTTTAAATTTATTTTTAAAATTTTGAATTAAAAATAATAAAATATTCTTATATCAACAACAAACCACGGCGGGGTTAAGTAACTAACGACGTTGTAAATAATAATAAACGACTAACAGGTAAACAAAACGTCGTTTAAAAAAGAAACCACGTCGGATTTTTCACCATACGACGTAAACTCAATATTCCACGACTCAATCACCGTCGTTAAAAGTAATACCCTAAACTTTAAAACCATAAATTATATATTTGTAAAATATGAAAACCTCAGCAAATTGTTTTTCTTTTATAATATGAAAACCTCAGCAAATTTTCAGGGAAAAAAAGGATGTATATTATAGACAAAATTTGTACATTATATATTATAGACAAAATTAGTACATATAAAAATATCAATTGTTCCAAAAATCCTCTAATCCATATGAAGGCAAACAAACTCTGCCCATTCTTTCCTGACTTCATCAATGGCTGCTTGGGGGTATGGCGCTTGATCTTTTCCCTTGGCAAACTGCAATCCATAAACAATGATTATTAAGCTTTACAAAATAAAAAGAAATTCAGTCACAGACGACGTTTTTTTTCATAACCGACGTAGTCTATCGATTCAACGACGGTAATTTTAAATGACCGTCGTTGATAATACAAAAACCACATAAAATGTTTCTGAAAATTTTATTCTTACCTTCTTCTCAAACTCCAAGGAAGGATCCATGATGATGTCCCTCATGAAGCGCATGACATAATACCCGCATTCGACACTGCTGGGTTGCTTTGGTGTGCCTGGCAGAGTTTTCCAAATTGGTGCTTTACGGCCTGGTCTGCCTATGTGGGAATTATAAATTTTTAAAGCACTGTTCACGATGTTTTTGCCCTCCTCATCAACCACACGATTTCCAGGCAGAGGATCCAGAAAATAGACGGTTTCCCTCTTTGCCCTCACAATCAGCAAGACCCAATGACGGCTGCACAAAAATAAAATAAAAAACGACGGTTATTTATAAAAACCGACGTATTATATAGTTTCACACGACGTAAGAACTTAATCATCGACGTGATTATAAATTTATCACGACGAGAATTAACTACCGACGTGGTTAGTTGTTTCAAACGACTCAATAAATAAATAACCGACGTGGTTAGATGTTTCAAACGACACAGAATTAGTTAAACAGTTTTATAAGTGAAAATCATACAAACAAAATCCTTTTAAGGAGACTAACCCTGGATTGTAAGGCATCATGAAAATCTGTTCACCATCTGTTTTCTGAAGTCGACTGGCTACAATTCGTGATCTGTCAGTTAGTGACCCAGCGTTGGCACTAACTTGAGCAGGGTCGATAAAGCCAACCATGCTGCACATATTTGCTTCTCTCAAAAGATCATATAAGCACCTAAATATATAAAACAAACGACGGTTATTTATACACAAACGACGTATTATACAATTTCACACGACGAACTGAAATAGAAACAGAGGTGATAACTAATTTATCACGACGGTAAAAAAGAACGACGTGGTTAGTGGTTTAAAACGACGCAATAATTAAACAACCGACGTCTTATGATATAATGTTTGATATTTGATTAGGACAAACCTCATATATACTGCAACCACAGTAGCCCCAATTTCTTCCATGCCTGCAAACTGTGTAATATCTTCATGCAAGACGAAGGTACTTCGATCTGCACCAAACACCTCCTTCTCAATGTTGAAGGTCATGATCTTCCCCTGTGGCTTTAGTGTAGTTTCCACATAACCACAAAGGGATTGTAAGGAAGATGGCACCTCCACATTTGAATAATCGAGTACTTCATTACCCTGTTTAAAGAAATAAAGCAAAATAAATTGTTGTGGTAATTCATTAAAAACGACGGTTTAAATTAAAAAACGTCGTCTGATTATAATTTAAACGACGGTAATTAAATACCGTCGTTTTAGATTATTTATTACGTCGTAGAAAATAAATTCCGACGTCTAATGTGAAAACAAACGACGGTTTAAAGAAAATATTGACGTCTGAAATGTGAAAAACAAATTAAAAAGGCAAAGTTATGAGAATATACCTCCTCGTCATGCTTTTCTTCATCTTGTTTTTCTTCTTTCTTCTCTTCAACATTTGTGTCTTCCTCTTTGCCTTCATCTTTATTCTCTTTTTTTTCTTCCTTCTTCCCTTCATCAATTTTTTCTCCCATCTTCTGTTCATCTTTATTTTCTTCTTTCTTCTCTTCATCTTGATTATCTAAAGCCCCAGATTTCTGTTTTAAATAATAAAGAAATATATATATATATATATAAGACAGATTGTACAGAGAGTAAAAAAATTAAACCAAAACGTCGTGGTAAGGCATAACATAAGACGGTATGTAAGAATTATGGACGTCTTAAAATTATTAAACGATGGTAAATAATAAACGTCGTGGTAATTTTATATTACGTCGTTAAGGACAAAAACCGTCGTCTAAAAGCCACAAAGTACGACGTCTAATGGCGTGTAAAACAAGTAAACTAAATACGACGTGGTATTTAAATAAACACGACGGGTTATTTATAAAATCGTCGTGGTATGGTTTTAAAACGACGGGTTTATTCATAATAACGACGTCTAATGTTTAAAAAAAAAACAGAGAATTCAAAGTTCAGATATGTTACCGTTTGTTCCTGCTGTTCCCCATTTTTGGCAGTATCATCCTCTAAATGTAGGGATCTCACTTCAGCCCCAGAACAGCTTGCTTTATCAGACATTGGATTCATGGGACTTTGCTGTAGACCTTGGTTTTGACAGGGGCTAGTTTTCGGTTTAAGCATGCTTGGATCAAAATTGGGGATGAGGTGGGAAAGCTGACTTAGTAAATGTTCCCTCTCAGCCTCTACTAATTGTTTGGTTCTAGCTTCCATCTTCTTAGTCTCTTCTTGAAGGACAATTCTTACACTTTCCTTCAATTGATCAGCAAACTTTACCCTTTGTGGTCTAGGTAAATTGAAGAATTGCCTAGGGGAAATCCCAGCACCTACCCCTCTTACTCTCCCTGGATGCTCGGGACCCAAAGCCAAGGTCAACACATCATTACTGCCAGTTATACTCAGACTGCCTTCAGCCACTTGTTTTTGCAATTCATCCTAAAACAAAGACAAAAAAAAAGTCAGCACAAGAAAATACACGACGGTTATTTATAAACAAACGACGCATTATATAATTTCACACGACGCACCAATATAGAAATCGACGTTATAATATATTTATAACGACGTTAATTAAAACCGACGTGGTTAGTTGTTTAAAACGACGCAATAAATAAACCACCGACGTCTTATGCTGTAATTACAGAAAACAGAGTTGTGATTTCAGATTTAGATCTTTCACGACGTTTTTGAAAACATTTCGACGTAGTAATAACATTAACACGACGGAAAAAATTAACCACCGACGTCTTATGCTATAATTACAGAAAACAGAGTTGTGATTCCAGATTTAGATCTTTCACGACGTTTTTTAAAATATTTCGACGTAGTAAAATCATTCACACGACGGAAAAATATAATATAAGACGTAATAAGAATTCTACACAGTTTAATAAAAATTTTAAACAGAGTGTGTAGGCTTACAATTAATTTTGCTTTCTCTGCCACCTTTGGATCCGGGATGTTACCATGTTTGTCCTGTCTAGCTTTCTTCCATAAGGTAGATCGATCAATTTCTACCCCAGGCATGGTTTCCTCCAATTGATCCTCCAAACCAGCATATCCTTTTCGAGACAATCGATGATTGTACTCAAGTTTCTCCCTAATCTGTGAATGTTGAGAATGCACAGACTCAAATTCTTTGGATAACCTTGAAGCTACAAAGGCATCCCATTCTGCTTTCTCTATGAATTTATATACTGCAGGGGGTTGGCTTAATTTCTCCCTCTCCTTGATGTATGGAAGGATATAATGCCTCGTCAGTGTAGACTTGAAATCCTTCCATTTCTTGGCAGCAGAAGATAACACCGAGGTCTTGCCCCCTTGACCTACCACAAAAGCCATGTCAACGGCTTCCCAAATCTGCTCCTTTATATCATTGGGGATGTCAGCCCATTTCTTGTCCACAAGTGGGACTCTGGAGCGTGCCAACACACCAATGTAGGACTGCATCTCAGTATGTGCAGGGCCACATCCTTTCCCCCTTTTATTGTACTCAACAACTGGCTTGATTTTCTGCAATTTTCTCTTCACAACACGAGGCATTGTGCTCATACCTCGACCTGACTTTGAATCCTCAGAAATTGTTGTCGTGCTGCTTGGTTCTTTCTCAACAGATGAAACAAACTTCATCTTCTTCAAGGGCTTGTCTTGAGGAGTTACCATTCCAAGCTCCTTACCTCCATTTTTTTTGGAGCCAGAGTACTTACTTTGGTCTTGAGAAACCATGGTTACAGAATAAACAAACCTGCAAGTGAAAATATTTCGTGAAAAAAATTAGAACACAAACGACGGTTATTTATAAACTACGACGTATGATAAGATTTTACACGACGTAATAACATAACATCAGACGTAATAAATGATTAAAGAAGAACAATATAAATGTTTAAACAACGACGAAACAATATTAAATAAGACGTAATAAGAACTTATTACGGCGATATTTACACGACGTCGTGATATTCATATTAACACGACGTAAATATTAATATAACGTCGTGTTATGGATATTCACACGACGTGAATAATAAGCTACCGTCGTATTTATAAGAAACCAAAAACATTTTTCTTTCTTTGTGAATGTTTGATTGCAGGTTTCATTTCTCTGAAACATGGTTTTTGTTTTTCCTAATTTGATAAAATACAAAGAAAAAAAGCTTTGGCATCTTTTTATAGACGACGGTATCTTAGTATAACGTCGTGGTATGAACATTCACACGGCGTCAATAATAAGATACCGTCGTCTATATAAGATACCAAACCCTACTTTCTTTGTCTCTGTATTTTATCAAATTAGGAAAAACGAAAACCATGGTTCAGAGAAATCAAACCTGCAACTAAACAAGCAAATAAAAATTGACCGTCATTTTAAAAACAACTTAGATCAATTTTAAGACGACGCTAGGACGACTGACGAACCGTCGTGGTCTACATATTTAACCACGTAAATAAAAAGCTACCGTCGTCTTATTTAGTTGAATTAGTTATGTTCAAAGTTCAATCTTTCCCTCTCTGTCTGTGTATTTTATCAAACTTGGAAAGAATAAAAATGATTTTCGCCAGAAAAAAGGTAAAAAGATTTTCAAAACAAAAACAGTATGAGCATGCAATATAGCAACAAAAATAGTGAGAAATGAAAGCTTACCTTTTGCGTGCAATGAAAGCTTTCTCTCGGATTTTGGTGTTTAAGTTCAGAGGCGACGACGAAGACAAGAGGAAGACGATGAGATACTCTGACAGTGCTCTGACAAGGAAAAAAGACGAAAAGTTTTCTCTGGGAGATTGAAATGTTTTCTCGGGTTTGGAAACAGTGCATGTGTAAGTCAGGTAGACGAAAAGTTGTATATGTATACAAACCGTTTCATAGTAATAAGACGGCGGTTTACATAGAACGACGACGTATTAATAGAAAAACTACGACGCTAATTTGAACTTATGACGTGGTACATAAATACGACAGTAGTGTTGTAGGTACCGCCGTAGTAAACTCCTAAATAAAAGTCGATAACTCAATATCTCGCGTCATGGTAGAAATATTTAACACGACGGTTGTTTTAAATTTACGACGTTTATTTTTATAATATACGTCGTTTTATTGTAATATACCGACGTGGATAACACTAAACTAAAACGACGTATTATTTTTTCCACGACGTGGATTCGTTTTTAAACGTCGTTATGTGTAATATAACCGACGTGGATTTTATTTTTTTTATTATAAATATAATTTTTCCCCCTTTTTCTTATAGTTTATTTTTCAAAAACAGTGCCTTATAGATATAGTTTTTTTTTCCCGAGGAAATTAATGTTCTAGAATTTGTAAAGTTTCTTTTCTAGGTGACTGATTTAAATCAAATAAAAATATAAAACAACGACTGTTTTTGTTATACCGTCGTCGTTTCTTGTCGTTTTAAGTAAGAATAAAACGACGTAATGTATTTGTTACCGACGAGGATTGTTTTTGTTAAACGTCGTTATGTGTAATATAACCGACGTGGATTTGGTTTTTTAATTATAAATAGGGTTTTTTTTCCACAGGTTCTTTCAGTTTTAGTATTCGATTAGGGTTCAACTTCTTCTTGCCCCTTTCTCTGTCTCACCGTCGTGAAGTTTTAGGAGTCAATTGTTTGGATGTGAATGTGTGTGTGCGTTTGTATAGATACACAAACGCACATACATCATTCACTTCCAAAAATTGTCTCTCTGATTGCAAATCTGTGGCTGCCGTCGTGAAATTTTAGGAGGCAATTGTTTGGATGTGAATGTGTGTGTGCGTTTGTGTAGATACACAAACGCACACGCATCATTCACTTCCAAAAAATTGTCTCTCTGATTGCAAATCTGTGGCTGCCGTCGTGAAATTTTAGGAGGCAATTGTTTGGATGTTGATGTGTGCGTGCGTTTGTGTAGATACACAAACGCACACATATCATCAACTTCCAAAAAATTGTCTCTCTGATTGCAAATCTGAGGCTGCCGTCGTCAAATTTCAGAAGCAATTTTTTGGATGTTAATGTGTATGTGCGTTTGTGTATCTCAAAGACACAAATACACATACATCATTAACCTCTAAAATATTGTCTTTCTGGTAAGATTATGATGAGCAACAGAGTTCCATCTTGTAAGATTTCCTAACCCTTGTGATCTCAGAATAATCTGATTATGTCGGCGGTTTTCTATATAAACCGTCGTGGTTATTTCAATTCTTGTCGTTAGGTAGATCTACCGACGTAGGATAACAAAATCGAAGAAATAAATTGTTAAAAAAAATTCTTATTCAGACGACGGTTTAAATATAATGTATGACGTATAAAGTGGACAAATACGACGTTAAATTCTATAATACGTCGTTATATGAAAACCCCAACTTGGTAAGATTTAAAGATGTCGTCGTAGAAATACGAGAAAGACGTCGTTATATTTACCTTTGCCGTAGTTGTACATTAATTTAATACGGCGGTATTTTGTATTTTACCGCCGTGGATTTATTTGTAATTATACGGCGCCTTATACGAAAACTTGGTCGTGTTAATTTCTGGGTAAAAACGACGGCTTTTTGTGAAACCGTCGTCTTTACTTTCTACGTCGGTCGGTTCATAACTTCCGCCGTTATTTGTTGGCTATGATTTTACCTCTTGAAAATCCTATTTCAATAAGACGTCGGTTTTTTAATTAAGTACGTTGTGTTTTAGGAACAGCCATTTGAAACTCCATTTTTTAGTTGTCTAATGTGTTATTACACGGCGGTTTTATAAAACCGTCGTCTTTTAAAAAACAACGACAGTTTTCACTTAGACCGTCGTGTTTTTCTGGTCGTCTTTTTCACTTTTTGTAGTAGTGTTGTTTTAGTAAATTGCTTGATGTTTCTTTACGTTGCTTTGCCTTGTCGGCGTGGCTGAGTAAAAAGGTATCAGGAAGGGTTGAAAAATTTGTTGAGATTTTCTTATGAAAAAAAAACCGTAATATACATGTGGAAAATAAATAGTTTGAGAGGAATTATAATAGGGAACGTAAAATTTTTTTTTGTGTCGAGGATTGGGGAAGGTAAAACTGAAGTTGTGGGTGTGTTGGATTTGAGAGCTTAGGCAGTGTTGGAGATTGCATCCATTTTGGGATGTTGTAGTAAGCATAGTTTATATATAATAAAGTGAAAAGACCATCAATGCAGCACTATTATATTCACAAAGCAGAGAACAAATTGAAGGAAAATATTTAAACAAGAATCAGACGACGGTTTGTACAAAATAATCATCGTGTAACAGAGAGTCAAACGACAGCATATATATTTACCGTCGTCTCTAAGCTACCCAAACCCAGATATTTGTATTTCTTTTTGAAGAACCAGTTTGGGTTCTAATAGCCTAACGACGACTATAAATGGAGAAACAGTCGTCTTTATGTTACCAAATGCAAACAACAACTCAGATGAGGGTACTAAATGAAAAACCGACGTATAATAAAAATATTGGTTTACAAAAAACCGAAGTCTAAATCTCCCATCCCCAT